ATGTACTGAAGCCAAGCCAGAGACTCGCGGGCCAGCCGATGTACAAGTCAGTGTTTTATCCTCCCAGACGAATCTGGTACCAATTCACCGTCCCCGGAGGGTAGAAGGCTTGGTTGGCCTGGGCGGGAGTCGACCCGGGATTCGAACCCGGGACCGCGCGAATGGTGAGCGCCCCACTTGTCACTACACCATCTCCGCCTTATAGCTATGAAATTAATATTGTTTAAGAGTAAGAATGTTTTTTTGGAGAATATTCATGTTCACAAAATAATGTGAATGTTTCCCAAGAAAATCAGAGATGGAGAATTTCCATCTCATTTGCAGCACCCCTTATGTCTAGTCCGGAGCACATCGTACAAACGGTATAGGTCTAAGGACAGGAGGGGCCGTATTTAGTACAGTTGTTTTGTTTAGTTATTTCACTTTTACAAGCGGATTGTATACCCTTGCATTCCACTACTTGCCAGTTAGCGGCGCAGTTATACTATTTCTAAAGATGCTTGAGGTTGAGGTGCTGGTGTGGTGGGGTGGAGACGGTGCTTAGCCTCCTCCCCACACCACTCCCTCCCCAGATGGCAAATTTCAGGGAAATCTGGTAGGGTGATCGCTAGCTTGCGGGGAGGGGGATACAGAAGGAGATTTGGAGGTCGTTCTTAGCATGTTTTGCCCCAATGACAGGACATACCTTGGTTCAGCCTACCTTACCAAACTAGGCCAGAAGCGGTGGTACGCAACTTGTAGGCATTTTGATAGAATAAGCGGTAGGACTACGGTACGCAAAATGGAAGTTACGAAATGGGGCGAGCTTCACTTGCACACCATCTGTTCGACTTTTTCATATGTCGGACGGCATTTAGGGCTGGGAACGCAAAAACGGTAGTGAGACAGGGACGAGATTTTTGGTTCATGTTTAGAGAGAAGAGCTCTCCATATTTCACCTACCCCGGAGTGCCTTTCCCTTGGCTTAAACAGAAACTTTTTCTGATCGTTTAAAATGAGCAAGGATAAAGTCTTCGCCGTGATCAATCCCCTATTCGGGAGATGACATTCTACTTCCACTCGGAATCGTAGCGGCCTATTAAAATCGATGTGACATACATAGGGGCTTGCGGTGGGGGGGGGGGGGAAGATGTGCAAGTCAGTGTTCGTATCCTTCTAGACGAATCTAGTACCAACTCAGTGCCCCCGGAGGGCAGAACGCTTTGTTGGCCGGGGCGAGAGCCCATGCCGAATTTGATTTCCCAGCACGGGAGTGGTAATCGTGCCATCTAGCCGTACGTCCCCTCCGCCCCCAATCGTTTATAATAAAACGAAAATGTCCGAAATGGTTTCAAAAGCCTCAATGTTTCGCAATGTACCGTACAAAAATGCTTACTTGTACTGGACTAGAGCCATTTCAGATTTAACAAAATCTCTTTTATCGTCTTCACTCCAAATATTACTTCTAAACGAATATAAAAAACCCTCACGTTATCAAAATCCATTCAGTAATAGTATTGAGCCTGAATAGAATAAAGCACGGTTCAAAAGCATCGACACATTCAGGCAGTGTAGCTCGCCAATCATCTCTCCAGTTACCCGTACCAGCGTACTCGTAATTTGGTGTGAGTTCTTCTGAAATGAATCCTATTAACAATTGACAAGCCGGCGTTTTATCGACGATAGCGATTCATTATCGCTATTGTTATTTGTCATTATTGATTTATTTACTTATTCATTAATTTATTTATGATATTACCGATGTTATGTATTATTTACACTTTGTCGCTAAACTTGTCTTGCTCCGACG